ATATAAATAAATAAATCAGATTTACCTGATCTATCATTTTTCGCGCTTCCTCCACCTCTTTATCCTGTGACTCTGTCTCGATGGTGTACGTGCCTGTCTCGCTCACACTGTCTTCCTCATCGTTCCTCCTGCCCTGGGCTGACTTTACCTCCGGAGGTGGAGCAGAGGTAGACTCTGGTTCTGACGATATAACCACGCGTGGAGCTACCGGCATGGGCAGAGGTGCTGGTTTCTCAGTGCTTGGCTTGCCAGACTGAGCAGTCTCCCGCAAGTACTCCGCCATAAAATCCTGAGCCATTTTAGACTTCCTTCCAACGCTCCCATAAGTTTTAGCTGATGCTCTGGAAGCAGAGGAGGATGAAGAGTTGATCCGATCCTCCGTCTTCTCCCTCTTGAAGGAGCTAGTTCTTTGGGTCCCACAGGAGTTGTTATTGGGTTTGCCTGCCTGGGCCCCAAGGTGGGATGGTGGTACCGCATTTCCCAGCTTCTCTGCCGGCGACGCGTTCTTGCGCTTTTCAACCTTGGTCTTCAGCCCTGGATCAGTGTCGCTCTGGGAGGAGTGAGCACTGTGCGTGAAGGACTGTGAGCGCTTCTTCCGTGGTGTGTCCTCGAAGAACTCGATGACAAAGGCCTGCTTGTTGTGCAGCATCTCGTGGGGATCACGCCTCATCTGGCGCTGCAGCCTGGTTTGCTCCGTCCCACGTTCGCTGCCCGTCGTCGTCTCCTTCTCTGCCTTGGGTGCCACGGGGTCTTCAGAGTCACTCTGTGTCCCGTCCTCGTGCCTATTGCCTGGAAACAAAGTATGTAGATTTGACTTTCATATTCTCAGTCACTGTGGCCCTGTCATTACCTCCCAGTTGAAATTTATCATTTCAGTTAAAAGACAAAAACAACTCAAAAGACACCTGCTGTGGTACAGGGATTGCATCCCATCAGAGGAAATAAAAGAAAAGGCAGCTGTCTCCTGACCCCACTTTTCACAACTGGCTGGCTATCAATTTATTAAAAAACAATTCAAGAAATCATTTCAAACCCAAGGGTTTCTGATTTTGTAATGCTGATTGTTTTAGATACCCAATGTTTCGTTTCTTTCTTTTTTTTCCATTTAAATAAAAATGACGACATTACTTTGCCATTCTGCCCAATTACTATAGCCCAAAATCACCTCACTAGGTTCTCTCTGTCACAAAGCAGAAATATCTCTGCAGGACCAGTAAATAAACCACTCACACTGCATTCCACGAAACCAAATCCCCACGATGAAAGACCAGATCCATATGTTACAAGTGCATGCACTTCTGAGCACCCACATTACCCCCGTCTACAAGGGGGAAATAAACCAGAGGCTAACAGAAAACTGAATTTGCAGGATTCTTTACTTTTCCTGAAGATTTAAGAATCATACCATGACAGCCCCATGAGTTACATCATCCTATCACCAGCCAAACAAAGGTTAAATCACTACTTAAAAGTTCACTAAACATAAAGCAAGTTTATAATTATTTTCACTTATGTTATCAACAACCATCTTTACAACTTTCTCTATGTATCAATGATGCCTGTCCCTCAGCACCTTAGTTCAGGACTCTCAGAAAGTAAGTTAAAGTAGAACAAAAAGTTAAAAGTAAAACAAAAAACAAACCTTTTTTTGGAGAAGGAAACGGGTGTGAAGGCACACAACACGATTCAGTCAACGACCAGGAACCTGTCATCGGGAGAACGGGGAAAGAGGTCTCTGCGCTCTAGACTGTAATATGCAGCAAGATATACTGGCTAAAATACCACGTGTTTGAAAGGAAAACTGCTCAAACCTACTTTGCAAGTTCTCCAGACACATGGGTGAAGACCATTTATTACCTCGAGTTAGCTCTGAAAGATTAGAATTTAATACAAGATCCATTCAACCCAGGAGTCAGTCCTCTGAAAAGTTTCCTAACACCCTCATGAAGGAAGCCAGAAACTTTGCATTGTGCCCTGAGGGCTGATAAGCTTTGTCCTTGGAAGAGAAAGTTCTTAAATTAAAGGGTCTTGGCTAAGAACTCGGCTGAATGCAAAATGGTGAGGACACAAGGAAAAACACCCACCGTGCCCATGGATGCCCCAGCAGAACACCACGTACATCCCTTCAAGCTGCTAAGACCTGAACTCTCTAGTCTTGATACCAGGCTTTACAATCACCACCTTCCTGAAAGCGAACAAATGTTACTAATGAACCCTGACAGTGGGTGTTTCTGATACTGAAGACCCAAACCTGGTAGGCAGCCAGGGGTAGCCTCCAAGACACCTTCAAAATTTGCCCTGCCAGAAGAACACGTTACACAACAACTATCGCAGATAAATGACAACCTGTTCTCTGCCCAAGCAGAAGTGGATAAACTCCTCAGGCCACCAACACTGTACGTTTTAATCAAATGTCCAAAGAGTTTATTTCTTGATATGCAAATTATGCATTAAATTACCTCAGCTTCTTTCCACACCTTATGGACTGCAAAGAGGCCAAGCGCAGCCAGTCTAGTACTCCTGTGCATCACTTCTGAAAATCCTAGGAAGAGCAGCAGCTGCCTAGTTCTCTAGTTTTCTCCAACAGGAAAGAGCAAAACTACTGAAGTACATTTCTATCCCTGGCAATGTTCTCCAGCAAGTCAACAAAATCCAGTATCACAATAACAAAAAAACAACCCACCAAAACCAACCCCCAAACAAACACACACCCAAACCCCAAAACCCTCTATCACACAGTCACAGTAGACTGAAACTAAGACCCCAAATATCCCTAATCCTACTGAGGAGCAGGGCACCTCAACACTGTCCTGTATTGGGAAGAACTAGAAACAAGCAATGACAACAAAACAGTTCAATTTCCATGCCATGACAAATGCCAAGGCTGGATATGCGAGACCTTTTTGACCGTAGGGGGCTTCTCAAAAAACTGTACACAAAACAGCAAGTTGGAGGTGTAATAGGTAAAACTCTTCATATTACGAGGAGGTTTTTTCCAACAAGGACCAAGCAAATACTCCTTTAAGAGAAAACAATGTATTGCTCTCATTTAAGAAGGACCTCAAGCACAAGTAGGTCTGGTAACCTTCAATACGACTTCATCAGTTAAAGTTGCAGATCCAAACAATATTTTTTCCCCGAGGCCTGCAAGGCAGTGAGGATGCAGGAATCTGTGGTCTCCTCCTAGCTGTTCAGTGCATGGCCCAAGAGAGACATCCAAGCAAGCCCAAATCTTGCAAAATGTATTCAAAGTTGCATGAGAATCACATGAGTCCCACCAGCTGCACTAAGAACTGGGCTCCATACTACACTTCAAACCTTTGAAAATCCCCAAAGAACTCCTTACAGCGACACACTTAACAGGACACAGGTCCATGAAACCTGAAGTTTTTGAACAGAGCAGGATTTCAGAGAAACTTTAAGAGAAGAAACCTTCTTCTACAAGCAGAAGAATTTCCTCCATCAGTGATCATGTATATATCACCAGTCTCTGTGTCAGGGCCTTTGGTCATCCAACCAAGTGGCTCTGGTCATTACAGCCATCAGGATGATCACACTCAGCCTCTTCCGGACTACAGCTAAAAAGAAAAGTCATTCCTTCATCTAGGAGAAGCACAGATAGGAAAATTCACTAAAATACCTGTGTTTACCAGCCTGCCTGACCACATGGAAACTATTTTAGACATTTAAAAATCAAAATCCTTTTTTCAATCACTGTTACTGCTGAGCTGGCATTATGGATGTAGAGGAATGAGATTACAGTCCCCCAGGCCAGCACCACACATGATTCCAGGGCCAGGTGACAAGCCTGCTAGCCAGATTCAAAACCATTAACAGTCATTAAAGAAATATTCATCTTGCAAATCTGGAGCAGAGATAATTAAGTCCAGTTCTCCATGACAGGAGAAGGGTTTTCCCCCTTCATTATACTGCATTTGCACCACCAACAGAGAACTATGTCCACATGAAAAGATGTTCACTCACCTTTAAGCGTCCTCACATGAACCGGCAGGTCACTCTTCGTACTGTACACATCATCTCCTGGAGACTGCCGTCTCATCAAGCTTGGGTCGTTCTGGACAAGCCAGTCAGCCACTTTGCTCTCTGCTGACATCACTTCTGTATGAGCTGGTTCCTTACTATATGGTCTTCTCTGTCTGAGTGAAAATTTAGTTACGTGGTCTTTTATCTTTATTTTACCAGGGGTACCATCATCAAATTCAATGGTAAAGGAGGCGTGGCTCTGTACAACAGGGGCTACTACTGCATCAACATCCTTTGTTGGAATCTCATGGACCTGTGTTTCTGGAGATTTTGATGGCTGCTGAAATTCTTTAGTTGGAATCTCAAAGTAACTTGGCTCTCTCCGGAAGGCAAACACAGACTGTTCTTGGGCATCTCTATAAGCAGAAATATTACCATTCAGTTCCTCTTCATGTTGGGTTATCTCTTTTGATCTTTCTATGAAAGGGGAAAAAAAAAAAAAGAGGCAAGAAAACCTTAAATTCACAAACAGTAGCTGAAATGGATTAAAGAAAAGCATACACATTCTGTTTTAGACAGCTCTGTACTCTGGCCTCATCACCAAAATCGGTGCTCATTGCATTGCTGCAGTCTGACCAACATTTGTTATACTCACTTTGTCTTTTCTTCCATTGCTCCCCAAAGAGAGCTGAGCACGCACACGCACAGTTGTATGTTTTGACAGAACCTGTGTGGTTGGTGGCATTTTAAGGTTTCTGTATGCCTGGGCTGATGTGGAAGGAAGATCCTGTTTCACCTCAATGAATTCACTTACATGCACACATACTCAGCTTTCCACAGTTCAGAGGAAAAGCTTGAGTGTACAAAGATAATCACAGGCATGGTTTTGCTGGATCAACACCTAATTCTGTATCACCATCAAGGAACAAAACCACATTTTCTCAGTAGTATCCAAACTTCTTGGCTAGAGAGTCACTCACTTATTTCAACCTCTTGTGAGGGCTGCTCTCTGCTAGAGAACAGCTACACTGCACGCTCAGTGAAATAAACCACTTCTTCGCACAGTAAAGCATACGCTTGATAGAAACTACACAAGTGAAAAACGATGCATCTTCCATGCCTACAGATTCACAACAGCAGCAGTGGTAAGACTAAGCGGCTTCCAAGGATGATGAGGTGAGAAACAGATTGCTTCCACATTAATCACATACAGTCAATGCATTAGCTCTTAAAGTGCCTCTTAGATCGGAAGCTCCTGGGAGACACAGTGGACGGTTTATTCAGGTGGGCTGCATACAATCATAGATACAGCACTGCTGTATAATTAGGTCTCAAACAAGCTTAGCAAGGCCTTTCTCATCCACACTGAATGATTCCACAACTGCTGTTTCTAACGTTCAAATATTTTAGGGGAAACATTTTAATCTCCCTTATTCTGGTTTCAGCAGCAGCAATCTACAGATAGGAATGTGCAAATAAGAGCACAAAAAAAAGTGGTAATTAAAGCCTTGAAGCAGGATGGCTTCACACAGTCAAGATCAAAAGTGTGCAGAAATTTTGTCCCCTCACCTTTTCCCACCCCAAATCACCTCCATTACCTGAGTAATGTTCCTCTTGCCTTCTGTCCTCCTTGTTATTTGCATCATCTTCCCCCCACCAGGAGGGCTGCCCATAAAGAGGGGTGCGGTAAGTATTGGTTTCTAGGAAGAGGATAAGCAAATACTTTGACACAGAAAATAGCAATTTACCAGGTTCACAGAAGTAAACCACATGCCAAAAAGGGCAAAACAGCAGGGTCAGATGAGATCATGTACCTGTTACATTGCAGTTATAACAACAGCAAGTTATACATAATAATGAGTATGTTCAGGCTTTTATTTTTTTACCCCTTTTTTCTTTTTTACTTTCTGCTGCAAGATGCTGACTCCACCTCCCTTTGCTGTCTGTCATAGCTGTGTTTCCCAAATACTGGCTTTTCTCCCTTTCTAGCCTCATTACTCACAGAAAGTGGAAGATTTCTGGCAGTACAGACTACAAAACACTAACCACAGAATTGTCTGCAACTCACCAGCAATGCAGGTGAAAATCAGCCTTTTTTCCTGATTTTAATTGGGAAGACTTTAGCTCTGTCCTTTCTTGCCCCACCATGCCCCCGGGATGTTGCGAGGCCAGGGACTTTTTCCAGCTATTCACCACTCCCACTCTCAGTGACACACATCCCACAACAGGAAATTCTTGAAGTGTTACAAGTTTAGGGAAAATGGTAAACCATCTCCTTACACACACATAAAGAAGTAGTAAACTCTTGCTCTCTAAAGCCTAAAGTAAACCAAGTGGATTCCAGAGTCACTGCAAGACAGAGGTTTTTCTCACGGAGAAGCTTCCCCTAGGAGAGCCAGGCTTCTGTCATTTTCTCTGATCACTGAGCACTCACTGGAAGATCAGAGCTTTGCTGCAACAACTGGTACCCAAAGGAGTTGATCGACTGCTTCTCATTTTATCTCCCACAAAATAAGATTCTGTTGTGGCAGTGCCTTGGGCCGCTGCTATTTATGCAACAAGTAAAAAGAATGCACCTCAATTTACCTGTGGTATAGTTATTATTACTATGTTTTTATAGTAGTTTAAGAGAAGCCAATAAAGTAGCTTTTGTTCTTTCATCTAGAGGTGACAGAAACACAAGGATAGGTCAGGGGCTGAGATTAAGCTCTAGCTTTGTTAGCTTCTTCTGCCTCTACCCATAATAGCCATCAGCACACGCTTTGCTGGCCACGTCTTAAACCCTGGCTCCAGCTACGGAGCCATAGCCGGGCTTCTACTGCCAGCTGCTGCTCAGCTTGTGGTTTTAAAACTACACTGCTCTGTGTAAAGCAGCCCTCAGACAGCCCTGCTATTTTGCATTCCCTGCTTTAATAGAGACATGACAGAAAGTAGTCATTAGCATAAGGGAAGTCAGGAGAGGAAAGGGAATTAAATAAGTCAAAGAAAAGAAGCAGCTTGATTTTATGCTGCTGTTTCTAAAGCTCCACAGACCCAATGGCCACTACTTCAGAAGTTTCATTTCCTAGAATAGTTCTAGAGATATATAAGCTCATACACTGACAGTCCACAGGCAAAAATTTTTTGCTTTACAGACGCAGCCCACAGGCCCTTTTCAAGAGATCTTCGTGTTTCAGAATTAACCACGCTGCCTCCCTTCACACTGAGGATCAAAAGAGACTGAAAGTACCACTCTCCTTTCTGCCTAGAGTGTGTGGAAGATAAACTGTGTTCTCGTTATGTAGGCGGCCTTTGAAAGTTCAAAGGAGGAAGCATTTCTCACTGTGAATAAATTGAAATTGCCAAGCAATATGTTTCATAACTGAGGATGGGTAAACCACTCAAGGGAGAGAGGAAGGGGAAAAAAGAAAAAAAAAAACCCACCTATTCACAAGCTTGTCAATGAACAGAGTCATCCAAATGCAGGGCTTGCTCTCTGCTAGGCTAAGACCTTCTGTCACAGAGCCTCTCAGAAACCTACCACCCTCTCTTCATGCCGTGACTTGCCCACTAGACCTCCACCCCAACCACACAGGATCTGCTCTACCAATGTCAGGCACTTCTTTTGGGGACACAATGCAACGGACTATCACCCTCTGAACTGCAGTATTATCTTAGGGTTGATGGCCAAGGGGCAGTCAGGGCCAGGAGGAGGACAACACCACTTTGGGGTGATGGACAAATCCATTCACAACAGCGAGCTATGTCTGGGGTGACTCAGGCCTAAAGGTCAAGCAGGCACAGTAAAGGACTCAATCCTGAAGAAACACATGAGATTTTGGATACTTGTCTCAGGTAAATATGATCAATCATGCGGTTTATTTTAAGTTGCTGGTAGAACAAATCCTGACCATACTACCCTACAGATGAAATGCAAAGACCATCTTGCACTCAACTCCTGCACAAGCAGCATCTTTCCCAAGCACGAGTGCTGTTACCACTCGTACCTTGCAAGGAGTTGCCTCGTTACAGCTCGTCTCTCCAGCACATCCCAACCCCTCACAGGATACCAAAGGCCCCCTAGCCTAGAAGATTCTAGTTACCTGTTCCAAGAAAATTTTGTTTCCAAAGGGGCAGAAGTGAGCTAAGAGAGCTCACACCCATCCTGCAGGACAGACTTTCTCCCAGAGGCTGCTCCAGCCCCAAGATCTGTGTCCCATCTGTGTGCTGAACACAGCAGCTACTTACTGCCTTTGCTCCCCAGGAGCTTTTCTACTACAAGGAAAAGGCAGCTAGGGGAGCAAGTCAACCTTGGTCAGACTTTGCTGATGGGGAACTTCAGGACTGCAAGGAAAGCTTAAGGAAAAAAAAAAAAAAGAAAAAAAAAAGAGGTGTATTTGTGAAAAATAATGTGCCAGCTCCTCTGCCTTCTCAAATTTCCCCCTCTACCCTCAACAGCTGTAATAGGCGCTTGGAAAGTCCCCAGATTCCCCTTCTGACAAAAGCTAGCACAAAGCCAAAACCCCAGGGCACCTGAAGGCGCACCTACCTAGAGCACATAAGGTTGGCCACAGTGCACAGACCTGGGGCCACCAGGGCAGGAACTGCTCCATTGCACTCTCTGCACGGCAGCAGAAGGTCCCTCCTGCCCCACCACACAGAGCTCATGGGGCCCCCACCTGCAACGCTGTTACAGCGTGTGCCACACATTTGCTCGCTTCTGTGGGTTTTTTAATTCCTTCCCTTTCCCGGCCTCCACAATAAACTGGAACTACTTAAAGACTGCAAAAAGCACAGATGGAAAGCCAAGGAGTCAGCATCTTGCTATTTGGGGACAGCTTCAATATTTTAAGAGCAATAAATGTTTCCACTGAGCCTTCATATTAATTTGCATTTTGAATAACATCAAGTGACACAGACACTCTCATTCTTGGCTACTGCTGAAAGTGGCCAGATCCTGAGCCAGAATGAAATTTCTGTGACTTCAGAAGATCTACATGAATTTGCTGCCCTGCTCACGTCAGAATCTTCCATCTCTTCTAATTTGCCAGCACAACCAACCTGATGTCTCTTCCCACGCCAGCTCTAATGCAACAATATAGTATAAAAAGGGGAGGGGGTGAAAAAAAAAGCATGATAGGAAGGCAGCTAAACCAGATGGCTGTGACAGAAGCAGGCCAGGGAGCAGCTACCTATGCAGTTGTGCCAGGGGGCTTTGCTCTTCACCAGCTGGAATGCATTTTAAGTAGTGACCTCAACCTGGACCTGCAGCATCCAAAGCAGCGCATCTGCCTGTATCCCGAGGCATGCATGCCACCCTGAAGCCACTGCCTGTCTGTTATATTTTAGCATAAGATGAAGCTCTTGCAAGAGCAGAGAGACTTGGGGCTTGCCCGAATCAGCGGTGAAGCAAGGAACACCAACGAAAAGTAACTGCTCAGTCATTTTAATAACATGAGACTTCCTCCAATTGATGGCAGCTCGTTACCACCTCTCTCCACTCCACACCAGGCTGCCCAGATGGTGCCAATTCATTCAGACATATTTCTTGGCTCATCAATTCAGGCAGACAGCCTGAAAGCCATCCTTTTAGATAACTGAATTGAGGTCAGCACAAGCATTCAGCCAGATAAATACTGAGCTATTGGTGATAGTGTAAGACAGGGAAGACCACTGACATACACACGTTCTGCTCCTGGATTTCAGTCTTTGGGGCAGTCACTCAAAAAAAAAAAAAACCAAAACGAAGGCTGTTTTAGCACACAACAAGGGAAGTCCATTTGTTTAACAAGTCTGACAAGAATGTGGCCTGTTAAATTAACACAGAACTATTGATCACCCGAAGGAGAGGCACCACAACAAAAGAAAATGAGACATGTCAATACAAAGGATGTATTTATGAAGTGAATCACACAGAACAACACAAGGGCAGGACCAAAAATACAGTCCAGGTGATGAAAGGGAAGAGGAGAAAGCCTGCGTTAATGCTGCTTTCTATCAGCAAGTGGGCAGAAAAGCTTTCATGACAAGCACACAGCTTCCACTGCAGAGGTCTGATTTCCCTTGAAGGTGTCCCCTGTGGTCAGGACAGGACTGAGGGCTGTGCTTTGCCCAAGTCCTCACAAAGCTTCAAACCATGATGAGACAGAGACAGACGGCAATGGCAAATTTCTTTGCTGACAGAAGCACACGCAGCTTTGAAGCTGTCTACAGCAAGTCATAACAAAAGCATGAGAAATCCAGCTTGCTTCAAGTCAAACTGTTTTTGATTCATTATTAATAACAATAACGTCCATCTTCAGAAGATGCAGAGTAGGCTTCTTATGGCAGAGGCCTTGGGGAAAAAGAAAGATGATCTAGCTACAACATTTTAAAATTAATTCCTTACATCTCTGCTTTTTAACTCCTCTCCAAAATAGAGAATTCAGACCTAGTAGGAATAACCATAAAGCAATTCTCTGACTCTGCTGCAGTATTTATTTCACATGTGCATGGCAAACCTAAGCCCTGGTCTTTTGTACCTGCTGTGAATATTCACAGATCCCAGAGGATTTCAAATCAGGCTGATAATCACAAATGTATTTGTATCAATTACATGGTCAAACCTTTAACATGCTGCAGGTACCACCACCCTAGCTCAGACAAAAAGCAGATACATCACTAGCACTCCCCTAAATTAAAGGCTAGGGTAGAGCTGTGCATCTAAATAGCTATTACCATGATCTCATGTGGAAAGCAGCCAAAGACCATGGAAACCACTTCACAACTGGGCACAACTCCCACTGCCTCCATCCACGCTGCCTGCTGACCTCAGCCCTGGACACCAACAAGACTTTCAAGTCAGCCACTTTGTTGAGAGGACTCCCTAATGACACGGACGCTAACCTGGCAAGCAAGCCTATTTCACAGATCCCAGGAGAAGCTCAAGTCCTGCTCCTGCAGTTGGTGATGCCCATTTCAGCTGGATGCTGCGGGCAGCCTCCACCCCTGGAAACTCAGGCCTGCAGAAGTTATTCAGAGGTTAGTCACCAGATTCGACATTATCTATTCCCATCAGCCTGTGAGGGCTTTTCGGGGGGAAACCACAGAAAAAAAAAAAATTATCAAGATCAGCCCGAGGATTAACTATGTGTTGCAACAGAAGACCACAAAGTAGCTTATCTCATCTCCAGTACCTCCACTCAGGTAGCAACAGATGGGGATTGCGAGTCTTAAAATCTGCTCAGTTCAAGGCTCTACCTGGCCTCCTGATCACTTAGGGCTTTAAACCTGAGAGCTGATGGCTATTTTTAGCATTAACTAGCTGAACTGTGGGTACTTTTCTTATTCATATCCATATCCAACCCACAGGGCTTACGAAGCTCCTTGCTTCAAACATTTCACAAAGACTGATGATTTTCTGCTTACAGGCAACATATGCCCAAAAGCTGCAAGTTCAACAGCATAAAAACTAAATGGCTGTTTCCCATTCACTCTGCTGGATCTCTTTATCCTCAGCCCCTCACCTCCTCCCATTTCTAAGTAGCTCTAATTGTTCACATTATTTTGTTAAAACCTCTTCCCTGAAAGCTTGCATTCCCTCTGCCTCTTTTCCACCCGGACCCTGGGAAGCGATCCTTCTAAAGGCTTTTGTCACCCCAGACCTTGCTTTAATTAGTCAATGCAAATTCCTAAATACCTACAGGCTTAGCAAAACAGCTCTTTCCCCAAAGCCTCTTTCTGCTGCCACTAAGCATGCCCACTCCCCATAAGAATACTACATTCTTCTTTCCACTAATCATTTTAAATTGCTGCCACTCCTCTGAGCAACCAAGGAGAAACTGTGCATGTGTGCAGCTGAAGACAAGGTGAATTAGTCACATCGCAGATGAAAAAGGGACCCACTGATCATTCTGCTCACGTGACAGATGCTTTTTTGGAGAGCGAGGCGCTGATTTAATGGTCAGACTCCCTCTCTCACTTCCACAGACTTCAGTCCAATCCAGGAAAATACTTCCAACGAGTCCTGAATTCCTCCATCTTTCAGTGGGGTTAGCAGCACTTCAGGGTTTTTTTTTATGTCTGTCCATCAGTCCCACTGCATGTGACACACTTCAGCATTGGCCCCCAATAAGTACTCACAGCCCTTTTTGCCTTAGAGCTATAGTCCGTGTGCCCACTAATGATGACAGAAACGTAATGCAGGTCTGCGAGCTGCACGCTAGAGAAATAGGCCACCTTGCTGAAAACTCACTCGACGTCCTGACTTTGAAGGTGTTCCGAATATCAACCGCTTACACTATGTAGGTTAAAACCAACCAATGCACATTTTGGAAGGTGGCAAGAACAAAAATGAGAATGTTCATGCAGCCAGGCAGCAGCAAATGCAAACTGGCCCAGTTACTGGCAATGCTTGTCAAGAACCCCATGTCCCTTGAAAGACAGCTGGAGAGCTCTCCCCCCAGCGAGGTTCACCTCATCTCACTCTCCGTGGTGTCATGGTTAATCATCACCAACTTCATCCCTTTAACTGCACGCTTCTGAGGCCAAGTCACAAACACCCCATCCGTGGGGGAGGGCAACACACGGACACAGCTAATGCCACAAGAAGAAAGGTTTTGCGGTGCGGAAAGTGGGAGCCGGGCACACAGGTGCCTCTGCATGTGCTTCCACACACAGCCAGAGGTAACAAGACCAGGGAGAAAAATTACACTGTTTTAGTACACTACGTCAGCTTAGAGGGATTTTTATAAAGACAATACATGGGAGATTAATGTCAGCCAACCCACTCCAATTAATTATCATGAAGCCTTAATGGATTTACCCAAAGTTGTACACTTTTCTAGAAAGCTGCTGTATCTACCTCTAGGTCGTCTCGCTCATCACACCGTTACTTGCCCATCCTTTTCCCTCCATTCACCTCCCTGCTTCTTCCTCCAACAGACCCAGTGGGCAGTCTCTCCAACCCTAAAACTTTCCAATCACTCCACCATCCTGATGCCACAAGACCACCACTGGCAGTCATCTATCACTCGGATGCTTTAAAACCGTATTTGTTCCTCCCGTGCATCATTGAGCTCTAGAAGGCCATCAACCAATATCTGAACAGATCTGTGGAGAGACCTGCCACGGCAGGAGGTAGGAAGTTGGGCGAGATGGGCGAGACAAGACTGCTGGGCAGGTCTTGGCCTACCATGATGGGGGACAGGGAGGAAGCAAGTTTGACAAAGAGTCTTTAAAGGAAGGCAGCAGTGGGTAAAGAAATGGAGAACAGAAGGAATTTTTCAAATAGAAAAGGTTTGCAGCTGGGGAACAGTGAGCCTGAAACAAACATCTCCCAATTTGGCAGTCAGTTTCAATCCCACATAATGGCACATTGGGGAATAGAGCCATTTAAGACCATACAGGGCTTTTTGAAAGAAATGGCTTGTTGCTTCTTCACTTGCCTGCCACCACCACAGCAGCCATACATTTTCTACTCTGAGTCACCATCTCTGTTCAAACACCAGCTCACAATTAGGAAATTAAAAATAGACCAGACAGGTGCCAAAGAACTTACCAAACCTGCTCAGCCTGCAGGTTCTCCAGCGCACACACACAGTGACAAGGCATGTGTGAGCCATCACGCCAGCTGATTTTCTTTGGAGGCTGAATCTCCAAAAACTGAGAGTCTGGAATACTCAGAGGTTTAGAAAGTTGACCCTTCTGGAACTGCTCCTAGATGCAACCCACAACACTGTACTGTCAGAATCATGACCCAGTGCAGGGCTCAAGCTGCACTTTGTTCTGAATCTTGATTAACTGGTTCCTGAGCAAGTACCTGTAATTGCTTTTCTCTCTCCTTTCTCCAGCTTTGCTTGTGGGGACTCAGTGTAGACACTGTGCTCCATGGGCTGCTCTGCCCTCTTCATTGCCGTGCCTTTGTAATTCATCTGAAGTTGGCTGGTGTACTTCTCATGCTGCAGAGACACAAGCAACAGTGGCAGTGTGCCTGTGCGATCTGTGCACCTGCCCAAGGAAAAGATAAACCACCCTGCCCCGCAAACTGATCACGCAAAGGCAAATACTACTGCTACGTTCTGCAACGAAAAATAAAGCACACCCTAGTAGAGGCTACGGAACAGCAGAAATGCCAGCTGAGAGGCTTTCAGATACTCCGTTTGGAAGACATTAAGTGACAGTTCTAGTCCATGAGAAGGTCACTGTGACTTAGCTCTGCAAAACAGCTAATTAGGAAACTCTAAAGAATAAGCTGAGAAGAATCAGAACTTAGTGCATTTTCTATTCAGGATTCAAATTCTGAAATCCTCTTTGTTCTTAAAGCAACATTACAAATTCTTTCAGGGCAATCATCTGCATTATCTCAGTTTTTCAGCAAAGGCAATTAAATATATTTTAATTATTTCTCTCTAAACCCTCTCTAAGAGAATGATTCTTCCTTAAAACAGGCTCCACATTAACATAGTAAATGAACTACTTAAAAGTGGGTTTATTACAAGTAAATTAATAAAAGGCTGTACCCATCCAGATTACCCCTGAGTAAGGTCAATGAATCATTTGCCCAATTTTGTTACATTTCCGATCCTCTCCAAGTCGTAAACATGGAACCAGGGCTAAGAGGACAGTATCTGCTAGCCAAGAGGTGATGCTTGGCACTGATAGTCCAGTCCCCCAGCTGAACATGACAGCTTTCTTGCCTAGAGGGGGTTGCTTTTCTACCTGAGATAAGAGAATGCTCAAATATTTTGTACCTGCTACTGAACTCTTTGTTTACAGTACATCTCACTCGTAAGAGGACTGCTCAGTAAGTAAAAATTGGGAGCTTGAAAGGAAAAATGAGATGATACACCTAAGTCACCAAGCTTAGAAAAAGGCATCTGTGCTCCACTTCTGAGACAGGGCAAGTTCTGCTGTGCTTCACTGACAAGCTAATGTGCTGACTCTTCTTTAATAGGTTACAGCTTTAGTAACCTTTTTTGTTGGCAGTCATAAATAACTTCATCTACATGTTAGCACAGGGATAAGAGAGATCAGAACAGAGATAACTGGGAAATGCATCTCTCCTCAAAGGAAGTTTTTATTAAGTCCCAATACAGGGAGAACCTCACATTGTGGAACATTTCACTGCCATCAAGAGCATTTTAATATTTCAGTCTGCTTGACCATTACTAGAGCACTTAATTTTTTTTTTTTAAATGCAGATGCACCCAGACACCCTTACCTTTAATGCTTCTTCTGGGACTTTGTGTTGAATTTGTTCCAGGACATACATGTTCGAATGTACAGAACTCGTTAAGGAAATGGCAAAGGAATTGGATGGACAGAGAAATCTTGCATTTAGTCATGAAAGAAAACAAAATCATAAAACCAGAGAAGCTGAAAATACGCAGGGTACTACAGCCTGAGCTGTATCTCACCATGGTCTTTACTGTGCATGTTTTGCAAGAGAGCATGCAATCACGTCTGCTGGCCAGACCCACGCCAACTGAAGGGCAGCAGACAAGGGGAGCAGGGCAGGAGAAGCAGCTCCATGCAGGAGCCAAGAGAGCAACCAGAGCCCTGACTCAATCACACCCTGCTCCTCTCCACCCTGCTGGCAAAGCGCTCTCCCCCTATGGTAGCCTGGCCAAGATGGGTCAATCTTGTGCACTCTGGACAAGGGAACAGTAGAGTTCAGCTCCCTGCAGGGATGTCTAGGACTACAGTGCTCTCTTGCCCTCACAAGGCCTTTCAGTCACTGCAGTTTCTTAGATGAAAAGTAAATCAGGTCATGAGCTGCTGTGACCTCTTAGGAAGGGAGGCGTTCAACATGGTTGAGCCTAGGCAATAATCCTCAGCAACACTGCGTAAAAAAAAAAAAATAAAAAAAAAAAGGAAGCATCTGGCAATGTCATCACGAACAACCCAATCAGCTCAGCACAGAGCAACAGGGAGGAAAAAGGAAAGATGGAAAATGTTGGACTAAAAATAAACCAAGTGATACTGGCATAGCAGGGAAACGTCGCGCAGTCTGTAAGTGAAACTGTAAATGGAAGAGAGACAAACGCTCTTATGCAACAGCGTACAGCTGATTCAGAGAGCTCAGGAGATGCTGCCATCCACACTGAGCTGAACACAGTATGCACAGAAAGCGCTGCTAAGGACAGTGGCACCGAAGCAGCAGAGGAAGAGATTGTAACTGCCATAGCAATTACGCTGAAGGAAAAAGCTTACTTTAAAACCTATATTCTTTGAAGTTTTCCTGTTGAAGGCAATAAATTTTAAAATTCATAAATGCAATCATTCATTTCACATGAATATCCATGTAAGGGCTGCAGGACTAAACACTTCAACTCAGCTGCTTAGCGCTCAGAATTGCTTTCTATAAAAAGTTTAAACCTGTATCGCAGCCATTAAAACCTACTGACGCTCTAGGCACTGGCTTATGCCTTCGCTAGACTGGAGCTCACAGCAAATCTCCCATGAGTTTCCCCACACATCTAGAGACCAGAAGAGACATGACCAGCTACATCAAAAAAAAAATTTGCAAAGTTGTAAAGTCAAGAAAAGCTAGAACTGAGGTTGCCTATGGGACTGTAACAGGCTTCATCACATGTACACTGAGACGCCACCTTTAATGACAAGGTCCGAGATGGCAGTGCTCTTTCATTGGGCCAGACTCAGTAAGGGGCTACTCAGTACTTCCCCCTACCCCCATGTATGCCTGAACCCTCATCAACTGCACCTTGTTCAAACACTAATCTGAAGGCAAATAATCTGTCTCCTTTCCTTTTCTATTTTTTTTAAAGATTCAGCAACTATCTCCCTTTTAAAAAAAAAAGACAGACCACTGTGAAGCAAGGATTTGTTATTTCTAAAATGGCAAGAGACAGAGCAAGACCAAGACCAAAGTTATGGTCTTACACAAGACCTAGAAAACCCTCTTCTCCAGCAGATCCAGGATTACACACACATCAGTTTAAGCATCACTGTTGCAATAGTGAGTGCTCCTGCACTGTCACTGATTAGAGCCAAGCCTGGGAGACCAGGGAGGCTCAAGCTCTCTGGGCTCCAGCAACTTTTGGACTATTTCAAGGGCCACAGCATGGCCAAGCACAAACTGATTATCATGGGGACCACAAAAGGCACTAGAATGTGGCCTCGGGGTCAAGGATCCGCAGGACTTTTCTGGCCAAACACTTCCTCACCCCCCAATGGTAGAATTTAGTCTCTGCCTCTATTTTCAGAAATGTCTGGACTGTTTTAACTGAAATTTCCCCACAAAAGAAAAAAGAAACCTGGAGAAGACACTTGCTACTTCTAAATTCAGTCTGAGCGGGTGAAGTTTGGCAGATGATAGAAGTAATTGAAAAAAGTGGAAAAAAGGATTAAATTACACGAAAAGGCAGCAATAGGAGCCTCTACTTACCACTGTTGCTCCACAGGCTCAGAAAGGCATTCCAACATCTATGCGTATAGCCAGTCATAGTCACATCAAAAGGAAAGTGATGAAGGCAAAGGTGTTTCAGCAGACACTAGCAGGATTTGTGACTTTGTAAACAATGCAGTTAACTGCAGCCTAGCCTCCCTCGATAGTGGTGAAATTTGCTATTGCTAAAGTCAGATTTACTCTTGCATTTGTGGCAGAAGCAATTTGCACAGGCAAGCTTCAATTAATACAGAATCAAGGGACTGACCACAAGCCCCAAAGCTAAATGTTGAAGACCTGTAAATTGTCTGTGCTTGGGTGAAATGATTAACAAAAATACACAAGTTGGATGAAAAAAAAATAGGAAGATGTTAGCTCATACAAAAGCATATGAAATACGTTTGCTCCCCAGCTGGTACCAGCTACAGTTGCCACCCAAACAGAATGGAAAAAACACAACCCTTCCTTAGAAAGAGATTGAAGAGGCACCTCCACAGCCACCACCTCCACAGCCACTACTGCCAGTGCAGGGCCTGATTCAAAGTCCAATGAAGGTAGCAGGCATCATGACAAATATGCTCTGAATAAGGTCCATGGTGCAGAAACAAAAGCTTATGAGTTATCCAAAGGCTCCAGGAGGCAAAACAAACACCCTTACTCATTAGTCACAATTAACACTGTTAACTCTCCATGCATCAAACAGCACAAAACCCAGTCATAGAATCATAGAATCATTTTGGTTGGAAAAGACCTTTAAGATCATCAAGTCCAACCATTACCCTAACACTACTAAGCCCACCACTAAACCATGTCCCTAAGCACCACATCTATCCATCTTTTGAACACCTCCAGGGATGGTGACTCCACCACCTCCCTGGGCAGCCTGTTCCAATGTCTAATCACTCTTTCAGTAAAGAAATGTTTCCTAATAACCAATCTAAATCTCCCCCGGCGCAGCTTGAGGCCATTACCTCTTGTCATTAGTTACCCGGTAGAAGAGACCAACACTGGCCTCACTACAACTTCCTTTTACGTATTTGTAGAGACCCATCCACGTCCCACTCCCTCTTCAGACAAGAAGGATATCATAGCCAAAGCGAATGACATCATTCAGTTTTAGGGTGATGTACTTCTGGTCAGGGATCCTCACGTCATTGACGAACGTCTGCAGGAAAGAAGCACAGGAATGGTTTCTGACTGAGGGTATCAAGGTGATGCATCTCAGATGGATGGGGCTTCTGGAGGGCACCCATGCCCATCTGCCAATGGCACTGCACACATTCAGGGTGCACTAGCACAAAGTCATCCAGGCGAGGAGCTAAGTTCCCTAGAAAAATCAACACCGGCAAGTAGCTCCCATGGGCAAGTTAGAGCACCCCAATTATGCTTCAAAGCAAGGTGCTCTGCAGGGACCTCTAGGGAGATTTACCTTTCCACCAACTGCAAGTGAAATTTTAGTCCCCAACTCGAACACATAAATGAGATGCCTGAAGTTAGGAACTTCAGATGCTCTCTTCCACCCTCCACAACCAGCAAGCACAGCAAACGGTGCTCATACTCTAATTACTGAGCTGGGAATCAGCTTTCCGCTGGATGTCAGACAAGACTGGTGTCGGCCTCAAGGCCTCACAATTTAACAAGCAAAGCCTATCGCAGAGGAAGGGAGTAGCGAAAATGCACAGGAAAACAGGCATTTGCAGCGGCATTGAGGCCACATTGTCCCAGGCACCACAGATCAGTACAACAGGTCCTTCGTGCAAAAGATTTGCGTGCTCATTTTTTCTACGCTCCAGGCAGGTAATTGAGGCCCAAAGAAACTAAGTTATTCTTATAAAGGTGCGAGAAATGTACGTCATAGCTGCGATCGAACATCTCGGATGTCTCGGATGCCTGCTTTCCGAGGGGACTCCCTAAGGAACAATCATCGCAGAACCACAGTGAAACAAATCAAGCACTCATGGACATCTTTCACAAATAATGTACTTCTGTAATAATCCGGGCCAAATAAAAATAAATCAGAAACTCAGCTGAAGAAGCACCAGCGTGCTGGTGGGGATTAGCCACTCTGTTGCCGTGGGATTCACCCAGCCTCACAGACCAGGAACCCACCGCTGTCTTTGTAGCCTCAATTCAAATGCAGCTATGCTCTGACGAATCAAAATGATGTTAGAAAATGAATTTACCTGCTTTCACCACTGAGGCACAGTATTCTCCTGCCTTCTCACCTCAGCCAAGCCAAACATGCATGATAAGACCAAGTACTAACCACAGGGGAAAAATGAATGCTAGAGCAGGAAACTAGAACCTCAGCAGACAACAGCCTCCAGCTTCCTGGCAATTTACAGAAGAGCTGGGGAACAGGCCTGTAATTTCAGAATAAAAGCAGTGAAGCTGGTTAAAAGGCACAGAATTCCCATTTGCATGAAATTCTTTAATATTTAAAAATCCCACAACAGTCAGATCTGAACAGCAATAATTATTTGCTGAATTTTCTGCACAACAAAAGTCTGCAAGAAAACCCATTTTGATGATATTACCTATTCATTCAAGGTTACTTCAAATAAAATAACCCCAGGGAAACTGCTTACTGCAGATAAAAATACTACCTTCAAAACCAGAAGACCCTTAAAAGAAACTGTAGAATCAGCTGAACATTATAATAAAAACAGTACAAAATATTTCAACAATTAATACGAACCAGGTTATCCAGCAAAGCCATATAATGCATTGTTTACAAGCCACAAAGTAAATACAAAAAAAAAGCAGATTCTGAAATCGGAACTAAAAAGTTTTCATGAAAATTTTCAATTAAGAAGCTATGTTTCTTTCAAGCAAAAGAAATGCAGTTTGGCTACACAGTCTTCTCCAACAGAAGCGTGTTTGATCAGCTCCAGAAGACAGGCACTGCTATAACTCCTTTTACTCCACTGCCCCTCTGAGCACAGGTCTATTATTTAAATGTTGTAAATTCGTATGGTTCAGCATGTGAAGACAGATGAGAACTACTGGTACAAACCCTCCCTCTCTTGCAAGCAGAATTCTCAGCTGCAATTTTGCCACCATGAGTTAAATACCACAGGTTTTGAACCAGGGATCCAGCTAGAGCCCAGACCAGTTACTGGAAATATTCCCATTTCAGCAGAGCTCTGTGCCTTCAGCTACTAGGCTGAGAGGGATTAACACTCATTCCTGATGTTTTCAGATGCCAGAAGAATCAGAATAGCTGAGGTCTGCTGTAGCCAGTGTTTTTATACAAGTTTCTGGGTTCGTGGTTTTGCAGTTGTGATGGTGGAAGGCTCCTGTTTCTAAGCCCAAAACAATGACTGCAGTAAAATCCCTAGTGGGAAGAAAATTATGTGAATCTAGCTTAGACCTGCTCCAGCACAGGAATAGCTCTGCTGGCATGAAGAAACAGACGAAAAAGAGAGGCATGCTATGACATTAGGACAGTTTTAACAACGATGGTGTATTTAAAAATCACAGAATTCAGGCGGGCAGACAAAGCCCTCACCGAGCTGCCTAACACCACTACACGAATTGGGATCAGAGCAAGGGTTAAGATTCAGGCAGGCTCAACTCCCTGTTCTGGGCTCAGTCTTCACACAAACCAGGTTCAAGGCAGGCAAAAGAGCAATTTTTATTATTAAAAAAGAAGGTGGTTTTAAATAGTTTCTCTCCAAAGAAATTAAATATCTCATCATCCATAAATCACTCCATGCACTGACAACTGAATTGCCAAAAGGTCACCCTGCTCATGCTAAACAGCTGCTCCAGAATCTTCAGCAGTTTAATGTTAACATCCCTGAATGTATTTCACCTCTTGCAAAAGAGGCGCTAAGATTTTGTGAGCCCTGAAGCATTCTGCAAGGATACCAGAAGAAAGGGGAAAAGAAACAATATTCACCAAAGCTCTCCTCTTCCAAGATGAGATGTTTCATGACCTCCATATCTCAGGCCTTGCAAATAATTATGTACGTTTAGCTTAACTCATGCCAACAGTTGCAGTGACCCAAAAGGGTCCAACAGTAGAATTAAATAAGCACACAACCGCTTGCAGACTCAGCACACCACGTGTTCGCTTCCATCAGCCAGGAGGTTTGCTACTTACGCCATTTAAGCTTCCGAGATCCTTCACCCAGTGCTCATCTTTCTCCTTGTCATAGTTGATTACAGCGTGCTGCTTATCGACACTGCGGGACTGGCAATGAAAGCACAATGAACGTGAGACCGGTCAGGCATAAGAGACACTGTTAATCAAAGCAACATTTTGACATTAAACTAACTTGATATGGAGTAGGGGGAGTGAGGAGAAAAGCAGACAGGATTAAATATTATTTACTATATTAATAGTAAATAAATTTATTTACTATATTAATAGTAAATAAATATTATTTACTATAAATAACCAAAGGATAAACAGTAAATGCTTCTATGGTTGTTAAAACAGTTCACTGAAGACAATACACTATTTGCGTGGAGAGGAGGAAAAAAGACCAAAAAAAAAAAAAAAAAAAAAATCACTGAAGGCTGTCAAGACTATTCTGTAATTTCAATAATTATATCAATACACACTGAAAACAAAACCACCCAAACTGAAAGCCTGGGGGGCAGGATCTCAGCCAGTGTGAACTAGAAGAGCTCCATTTTTCACCAGCTGAAGCCAGTGGCCTCATTACTGGGGACATTCGTATTTGGGATTATTTCTTCCTATTTTTTCAAAGAGAAAAAAAATAATTTTCTTAAGTTATAAACCAAACTTGTTCACAACAATTTATACTGTTCCCAGGATTATGTCCTGGACTTGATTTACATTCTAGGATGTTTTCCAAGTTGGAAGGAGGTTAGTAAACTTGGGATGAGAAAGAAAGCAATTCTAGAAAAATTCAAATTTTAAGCTAAGTTTGAGAACACTGAACTGGACAGTGATTTGGTGCCACTGGCTTTGCCACAATGCACAAGTGCCAAATGCACCTTATCTTCAAAACAGAGTATGACCCTTCAGCGGAATAGTGTCAGACTTCTGAGGAAGAAGTGTTAGAACAAAATCTCTGAATAATTTTGAAATATGTCTGAAGTGTTACAGCTATAAAGACACCAGACTGTCTGTATTTAGACCTACTGCCTCTCATAACTCGAATTCTTGCTGCAGTTGACCTCAACCAGTCACTAGAACCGGTCACTCCATCAGCACGTGCACATGACACTGAGACCTCCCTGGTATCTCAGGCCAGGGGAGGGTACAGCATGCTACCAGAGCGGGGAGACGAGCCAGGCTCTAAATCAGCTAATCCTCCTCTTCCTGGGAATCAACCAACAAGTTCTTGGTGAAAGTCCTTCCCCCTTCCCAAGTATAAACACACTGGTTTCCACAGCACCACTCTCAGCAAGTCATTCTCTACTTCCTTGCAAGCATGCAGACGCAAAGATTGTTTCAGGGGAGTTCCTTGGTGAAAACATAAAGGCTTTTTCTGGACAAATTACCATCATTTGCAGGAATTTCTTCTGCCCCTGCCATTGTCAAGCACATTGGTAATTCCCCAATAGGTGATAAATGGCACCTCCCCCTGCAGAGCATATGTCAGCCCAGGAGACCTGTCCTCCAGAATAACCCTGAAGTATCAATACGAAGCAAGCACATACTTGGCCAGAAGATTGCCCTTCCACCTTGCGGAGTCCCTCACACTATTCATGAAATCCCACTGTAAGCAGAGGCAGCGAGGAGAGGGGCAGGCGACTCCAAGCCTCCAGCTGCCTCACTAATACAGCTATCCATGCCCTGCTGAATTTACTAGGTGTCAGCTCACAAGTCCCAGCTGAAAAATGAGGCAGCACTCGATGCTTAGCTGACCAACCAGTGCTGCTCGGACAGCAATTGCTCCCCAAAGAAACAAACGACAACTGGTGGGACACGCACAGACAACGCAGTCAGGGACACCCCACTCGTATCTCCTGCTAAGCCAAGCTCTAAACGTGGGAAGAGACACACAGCAACACCCTCCCGGGAGGGGCACACACAAACCTCTCTCCCCCATGCAATCTCCAAGCTTGATGTCTGACCCCAACCTCAAGGTAGGGCAGGTCTTAACCATTTGCAGCATGAAGATGCTGCTTCTCTCCGTTACTATTCACATCAGATGCAGCCCCTCAGTCCAGTTTGCAATCGCCCAAGTGGCTGCAGCAGGTATGTGCAGTGTAAGGTAAGGTTGGTTGGGGGATACTGCCCAGGACCTGCACCTCAGCACACGGCCCTGAGCGTGGGAATGTCTCCAGCTGCAGCCTCGAGTATCACAGCAGCTGATGCTTCACGAGCTGGGGTTGTACCTGACCTGCCACGTGGTCCCTCACACCCTTTGGGAAGATGAGAGAGGGTCTCCAACTGCCCTGCCTGCCCATGGTGCATCCCCACAACCATTGGGTAGAAATCCCCTTTCCCCATCCATAAGCATTTGCAGAACTACGTTTCACCCTTCTGGGCTCAACAACCACCACACACTGGGGTCCTGTCTGCACAGCACCGATACAAGGTCTTCCCCAGTCCAAAAATCGTGGATATCATTGTTCCCAACAGGATGTGAGGGAACGTTGATTAACTGGTGCAGCAGTGTTTGTTCTAGCTTTTTACAGCATGTCGCAGATGCTCATTTAAAGATTAACAGAATCTAAAGGCAGAACAATCACTCTAGCCCCCTTCCAAAGGCAAAAAGGCTTCCACCCCAAAAAGCTAATCCACACAAAAAATTAGAGTAGATTTTATCTGGTACCTAGTCATAGGTCATTTAAAAAAGGGTTTATTTCTGGGAACCAGTTGTCTCCCAGAAATTCAGTTTGCCCTGGATCTGACCTTGATATAAGTCAGCACAGCCTTTGGGCTGCTGTATTTTACAACAGCTGACTACAGCCACTCAGGGCTCCCAGACCAGACATCAAGGGTCATCATAGGTAAGCAGAGATGTATTCCAGCAGCATGATATTCCCCTACATAAAACCAGGAAGAGGTCACCAAAGAAACCAATTTATTCCAAAACTTCCCATCTTCCAAGGAAGTTTCAGATGTCTTCAAGCCAGAGTCAAAATGATAGGCAAAATCTGACCCATAGTCCTGATACAACTTCTCAGCATCTCTTTGAGGAGCACATCAGGAACACAGCAAACTGTTACACAGATTGCACTTCTCTGAAATTTCATGCTTTTGTGGAGAAAATAGGAATTCTCTTCATTTTGTTTATGATAAACCAGGAAACATCACAGGAACTGGCAGCAGGAGTTCATAAGGGCCTGTCTCCAAGGAAACTCAACCTAAAATAACTGAAATCACACCTTATTTCTTTTGATGCAGACTTGCCAAAGGTCAACTCTTACTTGAGAGCCAAGGTGTGGTTTATTTCTACATCAGTCACTTTCAACATAAACCACTCCTGCATGCAGTGACAGCAGCAACCCAGCGGCTGATCGTGCTTTTGTCTTGGGGAGGAGCAGACTGCCTCAATCCCCATTCCAAATAAAAAGACTAACCAGTTTCCAGACGGGTAACAGCTGAGAGATGGAAAACAGTCCTGCAGAAGTCACTTCAGCCCAGCACCAGTGGTTTCTAATGCATGACCCACTGAATCACAGAAAGCGATTTAAGCAGCCTGAGTCAACACACATAGAGCAGCCCACAGATGCAGAGCTCCCAATGGTCTGCAACTCCACTGGAAAGACTTTAGGCATCTATAAATTGAAAAGCTGCAATTAAGTTGACTGAATCACAAATACAAGAGGACTCCCTTGATCAAACGCACACTTGCACCCAATAAGCCTTCCTTATGATCAATCACAACCTCCAAACAAAAGGCAAGACTGATCCATCTGTCGGGAGAGAATACAGGGATCCACATGAAAAAAAAAAAAATACAAATTTCCAATAAAGCGTTTAAAAAACTCTGAAGTGCCTATACTCAGAACATCAAAGGCAGAAAATAACTAGTACACCCTTGCAGTTAATCTGTTTCACTGGAAAAGCACTTGTGGTGGAGTGAGCAGCACTCCTGAGCTATGGCAAGGATCACTGAGATTCTGCTTGGATTCAAACAAAACCAGAGCTGGAGCACCTCAGACGAGATCGAGAAGGGGAAAAGAAAGCAAGGAAGGGAGGTGTCCTCCTAAGCACTAGCGATTTGCAGGCAAGAAATAAGACTACACTTCAAGGGTCTGGGAATGAAGGAAGAACACAGCATTCTCACCATGCCCACACTGGACCTGTTACCAAATGAAAACAACTCTCGGAAAAACACAACATGTGCTTTTCTGATTACAACATTTACACTTCTTTGAAGGGAAAACATAGACACTGATTTGTTGCTACACTAAGCTCATCCAGGGCTTGCATTTCCAGACATTGAAATCACTTCCTAATATCAGGCTGTCCTGCTTCTCCATCATACTATCTACAATGCATCATGTTTTAAATACCTAGTAGACAAAATGCACGTGTGGTGTGTATTTGAAGACAGAGGTATTTTATAGCTCTTCTTTCTTCTACAATCATATTAAACAGATAGTCCAAATCACAGACAGGAATGGCACCTCTGGGTCTCCCAGTCCCATACCAGTACCAACATCTGTCTCCAATCAGACACGCAACCAGGGAACTCGCTTGTGATTCTCAGAATTGCAGGCATCAAATCAGCCAAAGCTCCTGCTTAGCATGGGAGCAGCAAAAGCATCTTCAGAAGTGCACGGGTGTCGCCACGGAGGTACATATCATGCTGGCTACGTGTGTTGCACATATCCTACAGCTTTGCGTTTGGTGAAGGCTCTGATACGTAGAACAGGACACTTGGCATGAAACCACAAGCTGCAGAGATGCCAAGCAAAACCCACAAAGAAACAAGACCTGCTTAGGAAGGCAGGAGGAGAAATACAGCCAGACAGCCTGCGTTTCCCCACAGGGCCGGGGAGCAGACACAGCTCAGCTGTCTATGTAGATACAGATGCTGCTTTTCCCCCAGGAGAATTGCCACGGGCAAAAACCTACCGCTCGAGGTTGAGATTTGGACCTCAGCCCTGCCAGTGCCGCGAGGCATCGTGGTATTGGAGATAAAATAAACAAACGAGAGCAGTTTCCCTATTCCCCACTACAGTCTGTTGTGCACGTCTGGCACAAGATAACTGCAGCATTCTGGTGGCAGCACGCAATAAACATTTGCTCAAATACTT